CTCTACATCTCACTTTCTTTCTAAGTGAGTTTTCTTTCCAGTGCTGTTTCCATCCTGAACTGGTCTCTATATATCAGGGCACTGGGTAAGATACAAATGATACATTTGCAGATTTTCCTAATGTACAAATAAAACTCTCCAACACTTAAAAAGAGAGCATTGCTCTCTCAGGACTTTTAAATTCTTAATTTCTTTAAAAACTGAGCTTCAGAAATTTTCTGCATTTTATTTTCTATAGACCTTCCTCAATTTCTATTACCTTCCCCCATCCATATCCTTAAACTTCCTCACAAGTTATAAAAGCCCACAAATGCCGGTGTGACCCTGCTGTACAGAATTGTGACCAACACAGGATCCTGTTCAAAAATGTTGTGAGAGACAGTTAGTTACCAAAACGCAAGGCAGAGGGTGCTACCACCTGTGATCACTTCCCTAGAGTCAGAATGAACTGATTTCTCCTCAGCGACATGATCATACAAACCTGAGGGAAGACTGGCATACTTCTCTGCTCTGGAACAGGCGAAACCTAGAACCTTTTCTATATTGACACTGCAGGGATTGCCATCCACAAAAGTAAAGGCATAAATTACAGTGGAGATTCCAGTGGGTGGGGACATAGAATCTCCTACATCCAAGTAACCCCACATAACAAGGAACTGCAGCAAGAAGCTGGCTAGGTTCAGAGAAAACTGCATCTTAAAATAGTAGTAATAATAAGCATTCACAAGACAATCCATTTTGTAAGAAAAGTAGATAAAGGTCTGTCAGTTGGCAATGGGCAAAGAAAATGGGTATCCAAATCAAGAGGTCACAGAAATAAAATTTATAAGAGTACTAATATAATACATGCTGTACAACATGCTGTCAGGGTGTACGTCTTGATTCCACAACCAGTATAAATATGTCTTGATTCCAGCGGCTCCCCTAGTGGAGTAGTATGACAATTTGACAGTGACCTGCCATGACATGCTCCCAGCTACTCCCACTTTCCTCCTGCACAGTTTGACCTGAAAATGTAATAAAAATACTTTATCGTTCTTCATCCCAATGCCTCATAAAGACTTTGAATAATTCTGAACTTTGACAGACAGCTGGTAGATGCCCTGCATCTGGCAGGGTAACATTTCAGGCTATTCCAAGAACAGTTGCCAACCTGCTATGCACCCACATAGCAAATTCATAATCCATATTCTTAATTTTTGCACACCAAAAGGTCTAAACACTGAAGTATTCTCCACTCAGAAAAAAATTTTATAAGAACCTATCTTCTCAAAACAGTAATTTCACATCAGTTTTCACTCACTCCCTCGTGAATATATTTTAAAATTATTAGTTGTTTCTCTATTTTTCCAGCAGCCATACCAGTTAACCTGATTCATGGACCATTTTTTTTTGTTTTGTCATCATTAAAAACTCATTATTTAGCCCAGTTAATTTACTGATATGCATCCTGTCTTCATCCACGAGGGTAATTTGTACTCGTTCCTTTAACAGCCAGAGAAGGTACATCTATGAGTTGTCCTAGATAATTTTTTACTTATTCTTCTTAAGATATTTACAGGATATTTCCTGTCTGTTTTCTGAATTTATTTAAGCCCATTCCCATGATGCTGTTCTCATTCTAGTTATTTTCATCCCTCTTTAATGACTGTTACAACCCAGATCCCATGGTCAAGAGTATCTAGTTCTCATTCTAGTTATTTTCATCCCTCTTTAATGACTGTTACAACCCAGATCCCATGGTCAAAAGTATCTAACAGTGAGTTCCATTAATTATTATAACATAGAACAAATCAACAGAATCAAAAGCAAAGTTTGAACACTTTCACAAAAAAAAGACCACCATCATTTCTTTCTTAGTGAGACAAAGTCTTGCTTACTCTTTTCAGAGTTCTTCCATTCTGCTGATGCTGAGGGGTTAAGGTTTTTTTAGATCATCTAAAGCCAGAGCTAGAGCACAATGACAAATACACAGAAAACAAGCAGAATTTTCACAAGTAGTATTTTCACTCATAATCACAGTAGTATTTTTCATATGTATTCTCCTATTCCCTAGTTACACAAAAAACCCCACCAATTAACTGTCAATGAACAGATTTATGGAAGATGTGCTGAAATTCCTGAAATTTCAATTAGTAAAGCTGAATTATAGAAACTTTTCCCCTACTTTGATTCTACAGTTGGAAGAGAAAGCATGGGAAGAGTGAATCAAACATTAGCTCTTTACCAGATTTCTTATTCTGCTTTTTAATTTTTTTTTTTTATATACAGTTTTCCCCAGATAATATGCATTTGACTGGGTCAGATCAAAGGAATTAAAAATCTTGATAGCAAACTGTTAGAGAAACAAAGCTAACTACGGTTAGGCATTATTGCAGACTCTGCAAAAGTTCTAGCTCTTCACTATGTTTCAAGACATCTTGCATACCTTATGTTATCTAAGAGCTCATCCTCTTCATTCCCACTTCTGTGCCAGTTTTAGTTTGCAATTTATTCTTCATCGGGTCACTTTATGCTATTGTTTTAATTAAGTATTCTACAGGAAGTAGAAAACTATTTTCTAGGTCAAATAAATGAACATGAAAAGTTAGCAGCAGTGAGAAAGAAAATAGAGGAAAGAGAAGATCTCTCCTTTTTGGTGACAGTAAAACACTGCTAGTGTGAGCTGGTGTTGCAGAACTTTCCATGTATCAAGTGAAAGAAAGTTAAACAAGCAGAAGAATGAGAGAGAAACATCTAATAACAGAGGAGTACTGATAATTCAGCAGATCTGCATTATGTCATTTGTATCACTAAAATAGATATAATGTGCGTGAACCTTAAAATTCACATAAGTGCTACTCTCACTGACTTCAGTCAGAAGTGCAACTGCAGAGCATTTCAGAGCCATCCCCTCCTGCTCAAAGCAAAATCAGAGCAACTTCTGGAGTGTATTCTACCCAGTATTATTACTGAAGAAAAACTGGGATACACAAAGGCTGCCATGATGTGGTCTTAGATACAACTACTTCAATTCATTAAAAGCCTCTTATACTGTGCTCCTGCACAGTTCAGTAGCTATGTCCCACCTGCCCTGTCCTCCTATGGCACCACAATTACCACTCCAAACACAGAGATAAACCCCAAAGTTGCAGCATTGAGATTTCACTGTGAAATGCATACCACCATAAATTCAAATATCAAGAAAAAGACTACCACTTTTTCTGATAAAAGAAGTAATTTTTACTGTTAATAAGGACTAGCACTGCAGTAATCATGCAGAAATCTGAGTGCAGTTTTCACTGTTTCCTGTATGTAAAAGACAAAGCCTTTTGTACATTCCCTCAAAGTCACCACAAACGCCAGCAGTGATAAGATCAAAATCTGAAAGCAAGATGAAGAAAACCTCAGTAAAAGCACCACAGTACTGCATTAACTCTGAGGAAAAACACACTGCTGATGAAACAGTGTTCACAATATCTTCCCAGACACTTGTTTGAGTAGACTTGCTTTAAGTTACTGCCAGTTGTTCATGAAGGTGCACAGCATAATATGTCAGGGGAACTGCTCTTGAAGGCAAAATAACTCTGTCAGACGTTACACGTTTCTGGAGGGAAGGTGTGCACACATTCCCTTTCTCCCTTTATGGAAGGATACCGACTTAAGTGGCTGCACAATCTCAGACTTTCTGCTTCTCCTTGTACTCTGAAAAATACCACGTAAAAACCCTCCACAGTCTCAGAACACTTGCTGATGCAAAAGATATGGAGTACAACAAGCAGATAAACAAGTCTCACAGAGAGAGAAAAGAGGACTGTAAAACATTATAGCATGTGCACTGGACAACTTAGGAAACCTGCCTTCCATACATTGTACATAGTGCAGAACACAGAGGGCATCCATAGAGGCTGATGTGATCAATAAGTGCATCTGGACTCCTGGAACACAGGCAGAAACCTAGTAAAGTATTTTTCCACAGGAGTGGGATGAATGTACATTTAAAAATTTATTTCACAGAATCACAGAATCAGTTAGGCTGGAAAGCACCTCTGAGATCATCAAGTCCAACCTACGACCGAACACAACGATGTGAGCTACACCACCACCACTGAGTGCCACATCCAGTCTTTCCTTTAGCACCAGAAAGGACGGTGACTCCACCACCTCACTGGGCAGCCCATTCCAATTTCTAATCACCCTTTAAGTAATTAAATTCTTCTCGATGTCCAACTTGAACCTCCCCTGGAGTACCTTAAGGCTATTCCCTCTCGTCCTGCTGCTGGTTGCCTAGAAGAAGAGACCGAACCCCACCTGGCTACCACCTCTTTTCAAGTAGTTGTAAAGATCGATGTCTCCCCTTCTTCTACAGCCTCCTCTTCCACAGGCTAAATAACTCCAGCTCCCTCAGCCTCTCCTCACAGGATTTGTGCTTCAGTCTCTTCACCAGCCTCAATGCCCTTCTTTGGACCCTATCCTTCAAGGCACATGCAAAAGCGCTCCGAATCACCACAAATCATTGCTGCCTGCCTATCTCCTACAGAGCGCTGGCTGCGCTCTAAAACCCTCAGACGACTGGCTTCAGGGGTTTCTCTGACCTTAAGGCACCAGCCTGTGAAACCGCACGTGTTTTCCCAAGCACGGAACGGGCGCGCCCTTTCCTCACTTTCCTTCCCTTCATTCAGCACTTGCTATCTTTTTTTCCGTCGGCCGCCGCGAAGCCGCTGCACACAGCGGCGAGAGGGACACGGGACACGGGGCGCGGCCCCCCCGCGCCCGCCGCCACTGTTTACCTGCGCGGGTCTCGTGCTTCGGCACCCGGTAGTACTTGTTGCCGAACTGGTCGGTGCCCACCAGCTCCTTGGCGGGGCCCAAGAGCCGGAGCCGCAAGGCGCGGAGTGCCTGCCAGGCGAGGCTCATGCCAGGATACCTCTGGCCGAGGCTGCGGCGTCGGATACACGGCCAGGAGCACAGGGACACGCACGCCCTCCTACCCGGTCCCTGCCGGCCGCGCACTTCCACCGCCAGCCCTGCCCTGCTCCCGCCTACGGGCGCGGGGCGCTCCAGCAACGCTGCTCGCCATTGGCGCAGCCTGCCCAAGATGGCGGCGCGGCGGGCCGCGGGGCGGTGCTTCCGCCATGTTGGGGTTGCTATGCGCTCGCCAGACCGGGCTAGATGATCCTGGGCGTTTGCGCCGGGCCGAGCACACCCGCAGGTACCGCGGCGGGGCGGGGCGGGACCGCTGCCCGAGGGGGCCACGGAGCGGCAGCGCCTGGCTCCTCTTTGCCGGGAAGCTTCGCCCGGACCCAGCCGAGGCTGCGCTGGGGGCCACCTCGGCGGCGGCTCCGGCAGAGGCTCCCCGCGCCCCGCTGGTCGCGTTTCGGAGTGGGTTTGCGATGTCGCGCGTGGGTCAGAGTCCTGGTGTGTGAGCGCTGCGGTGCCCGGTGCCTCATCCCCGCACCGCGCAGTTGCACCAGAGGCTCGGTCCGCTCGCGTTTGTGCTCCGCCTGTGGAGAGACGAGGTGTTTGTGGTGCTCTGTGCCCGCATCGTCTCGTCCGCCCTCTTCCGAAACCCGGCCTGCTGATTGATTGCGGGAGAATCAGATGGAGGGCTTTTATTAGGTTCCCAGCAACTTCTGTGGGAAGTGGCGGCTGCATAGACAGGCTTGTTAATATTCGTGCTAAAAGTTATAAGATGATAATATTTGTTCAAGTTTTGCAGCTGTATTTCAAGGTAAATCCAATAAGACCTTCCTCAGTTCAGTCGCTCATGGGAGTCCATTATAAGGATTTGTGATCGTGATTTATGGTTTTGGGAGCTGTATCATTGTAAAAAGAATGTTTTAAATTGAAATGAATTTTGGTGTTCAGCAAACTCCTTTCAGTGAGCATTGGGACAACACGGTTACATCCTTTGTATGCCTCCAGCTCTTATGTAGCATTCAGTGTTAAGAATGTTTGACTTTTAAAAAATATATACTCCTAAGTGGATTTTATTTATAGCTGCATTTTAAAGTTACATGTTTTAAAACAGTTCTGCAGGGGCATTTCTTGCTTCACTAAAATTCAATCTGGAGCTCAAAGGTTTTAAACTAGGTATCTTGTATATGTCAAAATTCTTATTCTAAGTGAATTCTTCCATAATTATATTTCACATCTGTTAAAATGACTTAAATAACTTGCTGCTTTTAAAGCATATCTACAGAGGTGTTGTTTGGGGACCTGCCTATAACAGCCTAAGGTCAGGATTTTTGCCACTTGATCTTAAATAGGGTCACTCTGCCTCTCAGCTTTTCAGTTACCTTCTTAGTTACTTTGTTCTTGTTAGTGGTTTTGACAAAATGGTGCTGTATGACGCTCTGATCATCTTGTAAGGCTAAATTTTTTATCAGATAGTATGGTTTAAGGAGGCAGAATCTCTCTTTTTTTGACCATGTAACATATTAGCATATTTAAAACTACAAATTACTAATTGCAGGTCAGAAAAGTTTGTCTTAGAAGCTTCATCATGTGAGTAGCCTAGTTTTTATTTATTGTGTTCTAGAAAATGTAACACACAAACTTTTTTCATTAAAAGAAAACTTGATAAACTTGATAAACTAAATGAGTTTGTCCGCTAGGTGTCCGTAGTTCCAAGTAGGATGAAGCTTGAAAGAATGTTACATAATGAAGCTTCAGAGTAACTAATATTTGATGTGACTACAAGGCATCTGAATGTTTCTGTTGCCCAGTGTTTTCAAATTGCATTCTGGTTTTGTTTCCTATGTTGACCCCAAATGCAGTTTTGCTATTTTATGTATTTATTTCTCTATTACCTTCCAGACAACCAAGTATTCTTTTCCTACCAACTTCACAAGATTTATTTCCATCCCTATGTCATGTAGTTTTGCAAAAATATTACAAGGATGATTTAAATGCATTGAAGAAGCACAGAACTAGGGTTTTAGCTGTTCAGAGCTGCACAGTAACATTCAATAATTCTGTTCTTGTTGTTCATATCTCTGTTTTTCTTTTGTTATTGTTTTTTGGTTTTGTTGGTTTTAGGGTTCTAAGTTTGGAATTAAATAAAGATAGAGATGTGGAAAGAATACATGGGAGTGGTATCAACACACTTGATATTGAGCCTGTTGAGGGAAGATAGTAAGTATACACTTTAGTTGGTAAAAATGTATGTGAGTACTTCATTGTGTTTTGGTACTACATATTTATTTTCTTGTTGAACACTCAGTTGTACTGAGGATATTGTGATCATGAATCTTGTAATTTTGTGCTTTATTAACACTTTGCAGCATGTTATCTGGTGGATCGGATGGTGTTATTGTACTTTATGACCTTGAAAACTATAGCAGAAAACCAAGTTACACCTGTAAAGCACTTTTCTCTGTGGGAAGGTAAGTACTCCAAAATTATATTAAAAGTTCATAGGATAGCTTTTGTGTGGCTAGGATTGAACTTTCAAATTAATGTATGTTCTTATTTCTAGGGTAAAAAGACTATAGAAAATAGTGCCAGAAATCTTTGAAGGCAAGTGTGATGCCTTATGTTTTTTGACATGCAAAAAAAGAAGAAACTTTGTGGTGATTTACTAAGTAGCAGGAACTAATTGTTTCTTCTTGATTTGTCTACTCTTAATAGTTACAATATATGTACAGTGACTGTGGTATTGTTTGAGCACATCTAGAGCAGTTCAAAAGTTAAAATGGAGGATATAAATTGTTCTTGTATGGAAACTGAAGTAAGAGTTTTATGTTGCTGTAGACCCCACAGAAGGAAGTCAGAGCTAGTACTCTAATCACATTTTAATACTAGAAAAATATAGATGAGGAAAAAAAAACAACCAAACTCCCTTCTAACTCACAGTTAAAACCTGTGAGTTTTATTATTATTTCATGTTGAAATTTGGTGACTCTATGCCAGTAACTATGAGAAAAAAGGTTTGGTACTGTTGTAGAAATGTTCCTTTTATCCTCTAAATATATATAATATTTATATTTGAATAAATATATTTTTAAGCAGAATGAAAATTATCTGCATAAGTGTTCATCTGATTGGGAAAAATATCTAACACCTATTTGCTGCTGTTGGTTTTATTTCCTCTCTCCCTGGTTCCAGCTATTTTAAGTTCGTTTGGTGTTCACCAGGTACAGCAGTCATTTATATAGAACTTCTTAAGAGCATATTCAAATGAAGGCAGATGTGTTACTAAAAAAATGGGACATTTTTTCTAATGAACTGCCATGCTGTGTGTAATCTTTGTAAAAAGTCAAAGCTTTTATTGATTTGTCAGACTTTCTCTGCAGGCAGTATAAATTTTTCCATTACGGCCGTTAAATCTTTTAGCAAAAGCTCGTTTTTCCTTGTATTTGGGTTTTAGGGTTATCTGGTAAGTTGGAACTTCATTTGAGACAGTAAGATATGTCCTACTGTTATAAAGATTAGTAGCTACATTTTCCCCTTATTTTTTCCCAGTCTAAAATTTTATTTAAGGTCTAAGAGCTTCATGAGCCCAATATACAAGAGCAGAACAGATTTGTTACAATAGAAGTCCATAATGGTATTTTGGACCATAGGAAGGAAAAAAGCCAATAAAGCGTGCATCAAAACAAATCAGTAGGGACAGAATCTACCGCAAGTCAGCTGCATGTGGTGTTTGTGGCTGGGACTTCTTGCACAAAATTATTTTAAATTGTAATTTGGAACTTATAATGGCTGTACATCCCCAAATCTCACAGCTGAAACAAATTCTGAAACAGATGCAGCAAACCAAAGAAATTCATGCTAAGAGGACACAACGTAAAAGCTGTCAAATCTGTGCTAAAATCATGCCAACACTAACTTCAGTTAGGTCCCTAGAAATATTCTATTCTTGAATATTCTGTTTATGAGCATGGTTAGTTGGTAGTCTGTTTCCTGAGTAGGTGTTCATTTGCATAGGTGCATCTTTTATTTGCTATTAGTTGAGGCATATATCTTACTAATGATTTCCAATCAGATTTGTGTGACACTGTTCTAAATGATAGACTTATGATTATTATTCCTTAAATATCCTTAGTAGGTTTCTTGCCTAATTTATTCGTAGTATTCATATAGCTTCCTAATATGTTTTGAAAATACTTACTTTAACTAAAATAGCTACCGATTATATATACCTTCAGATATTTGGAATGTTATTCAAGCAGAGTTCGTGACATCATAAATGAATTTTTAATTACTGGTAAGAAGCACTTCTCAGTTTGATTACCCAGCTCCTATCTTTGAAGCATGTAATGCTCATGTGTTGTAGAAGTTTGCCTATCTTCCCGGTTTGCAGGGCAGAACACAACTCTGGTCTCAAAGCTATCTAAAGAATAAGCTCTTGCTAGAGGTCCTTTGAAGCTGTTTCTGAATAGTCTCCAAACTAGGCGTGATGAGGGTCCCATAGTTCAGAACATCAGAAGTAATGATGCCTGGTGGTAGGCTGGAACTTACCCAGTGTTTCTCATCTAGACTGTAAGGCCACTATTAAAAAAGGCCATAAAAAGTAGAGCTTTCCTTGCTCTTCTGGGAGTCAGCACTGAGAGCTTCCCCTGGTTTCATGTGATCCATGCTGTCTTGTGAAAAAAACTGGCATTTGAGAATACCCAAACAGTACCAGCTTCTAGATGATATATAGATAATGCCTATCTTTAAGGTAGTCTCTTCTACTCAAAACCTGACTAGGAAGAATGAATGGCAATGACTTTACTATACATAAAATTAATTCTGTATTTGTCTTTGGTAGAAAAAGATATTCTGAGTAATGGGTGAAAATACTGCATGTGGAATGAACTGGGAATAATGTACAGCCCTGACATATGAAACTAGGCTGAATAGCATGTAGCCACTACTAAGCTTAGCCAGATCAAAGGTGATTCCTGCAGAGATACTCAAGAGTTTTTTAGTTCATTCCTCAGTCCTGTGGATTATGGAAAAAGTGGTTGTTCAGGTGTGGTGTTGAACACAGTCCAGTGTTGTACACTTACCAGTTTTTGTACCAGGATAATTAGTTCCATGGGTTTAGATTTTTCTGCATGGTGCATACAAATGTCTTTCCACTCTGAATCATGCTGGGTTTCCTGGCTCTGCAGATACTGAAGATATTTAGCTTGACTCTGTCATGGTTCAATCCCAGTCAGCAACCAAGAACCACTCAGCTTCTTGTGTATTTCCCTAACAAGTGGGATCGGGGAGAGCATTGGAAGGGTAGAAGGTAGTTAGAAGACCCATGGGTTGAAATGAAGACAGTTTAATAGGAAAAGCAGAAGCTGCCCATGCAAGCAAAGCAAAACAAGGAATTAAATCACCCCTTCCTGTGGGACGGCAGGTGTTCAGCCGTCTCCAGGAGAGCAGGGCCCCATCACATGTTACTCAGGAAGACAAATGCCAGCATTCCAAAGGTATTCTCTTCTTCCCCCCAGCTTTATATACCGAGCATGATGTTATATGGTCTGGAATATCCCTTTGGTCAGTTTGGGTCACTTTCCTGGCTGTATCCCTTTCTAACCTCCCATGCACTCTTAGCCCCCTCACCAGCATGGCAGTATGAAAAGCAGAAAAGGCCTTGGCTCTGTGTAAGCCCTGCTCAGGAATCAAAAACATCTTTATAATATCAGCATTATGTTCAACACAAATCCAAAACATATCCCACACTAACCACTGTGAAGAAAATTACCTCTACCCCAGCCAAAATCAGTATACTTCCCTGAAGAATAAATGCCCAAAATTTATAGCACTGTGCCAGGACAACGGGCCATTCTAGGATATCTTCAGATTCCAAGTATGAGAATCATCATGGAATAGGTTTTGAGCCTGCTTGCCTCATTCCATACAGAAAGAAGCAACTGCATTTCACCCTAGAATTCATGTAGCATTATAACTTCTGTTAGGATGTGAATATAACATTCCTCTAATTTTATCCCAGCCATCTTTCCACAATATGAAAGATCTACATCTCTGTTTACACAGTGATACCCTTGCCACAGTTACCACTTTGGAGGCCAGGACACTTGAGAGAAAAATGCAAAGATAAGAGCAGAAGTGAGGAAATCTTGTGAGCCCTTCACTAGCTGCACTTGGAGCTGGCTAAACTGTTTTCTCATATTGTACTGCATTTAGCTGGGATGGAGTTCATTTTCTTCATAGTATTTTGTACATTACTATGTTTCAGACTTGTAGCCAGTCTTGAGAACACACTGATGTTCAGCTACTGCTAAACAGTGTCGGTAGTGTCAAGGCATTCAACATTCTTCACTTTACCCCTTCAGTGAGGAGACTGGGGGTGGACAAGAGGCTGTGAGGAATCTGAGACACCTGACCCAACTTGACCAGAGAGATATTGGTATTCCATACTGTACTATATCATGTGCAGTAATAAAACTGGAGGGGAAAAAGGGGGTGCGTTTCCGGGGGTTGCCATTGCTCTGACTTTGAAGGGTCATCAGTCAGCCTATGATGAGGGATTGTTCTTGCATCACTTGTTTTTTTGGGGGGTTGTGGAGGTCTTTTGTTTTTTGAGGGGATGGAGGTTTTGATTTGTTTCCTTTTCTGTATTAAAATGTGATTATCTCAATCCACAACTTCTGTCACCTTCACCATTTGGATGCTTTCCCTCATCCTGCTGCAGTGGGGTAGAGCGCTGTGTAGGTGCCTAGGGTTAACCCACAGCAACATGGTAATTCTGGGTCTGGAAGCATAATTTTGGGCCATGAAGCTGAATACATGTGAATCCACCTCAGATATTAGTGGTCTACCAGGTATAGAAATTACATATATTATTCAGAGCCTGATCAGTTCAGTCTGTATCCTGGAGCTGTCAAGATTTGCTCTGCTGTCCTTTCTTTCTACCACAGTTAATGTATTATTAATTATATTTAATTCTGTAACTATCTACAGTTTAGCTCAAAGTTTCCAATTGTTCTTTCTCTGTCATTTCTGAATGCAAATATAAGTGATTCTCAGTAACTTAGTCTATTGATATCTGGTGACTTCAGCATACATGAATTGCCAATAACTATGTAGCTGTAATTATTCACTAATAATAATGAAATTTTTGAACTGTATTTGTGGTTGTATTTTTCAGTGGATCCATTTCTCAGGGAAATTCCAGAAGTATAAATGATTTGTAGTGTTAGGCTATCATATTTAACGTTAGAACTGTAAACATGGCAACTTAAAACATTTCAAAAGACATTAGTGCCTTTTGTGCTTCTAACTGTGGACTCTGAGTGTCTTAACTTGAGATATGCTGCAAAAGATAATGATCTGTAGCTTCTTGAAATCAGGACTCTTCAAAGAAATTAATATTAGTTGATTGAAAATCAAACCAACTAAAAAGTAGTTCTTGAAAACTTCAGGACAAATTAAAAAAAATATTTAAACTTTGTTTTCTACTTGTCATTGAATACCAAGACAATTACAAGATACTTATTAAGACTGACCAATTGGAATATTTTCTTTGATTTTAGGAGCCATCCTGATGTACATAAATTCAGTGTGGAGACAGTCCAGTGGTATCCTCATGACACTGGCATGTTTACATCCAGCTCATTTGATAAAACCTTAAAAATATGGGATACAAACACTTTGCAAGTAAGAGAGTTTCTGCGGCTTGCAAGCTTCTTTGTGTATGTGTTATTCATTCCACATCTGCAGTTTTCCCAGAGGTGAACAGGAGCAAGTAGTCAGAAGGATGAGAACCAGCCTATTGTTAGAACTCTGGGTGCAGTAGCAGCATTCATATATACACTGGTGTGTGCCTCTCCCTTTCTGAAGACTTGAATGTCTAAACTGTATGAGAGCTTGGAACTCTTGGGACAGTCCTTTCTGCTTTTGTTGTGATAAGGAACACAGCTAGTTGAATTTTTGCTATGTAAACTTGTCCACCAAGGCATAGTCTGAAGTTCATTCTTGGGGATTGTTAGTTAAGTATAATGGTAATGTACAGCAGGGTGAGCTTTTAATAACCAGCATCTAAATATTGGTTTTGAAGGACTAGTGGTTTTGGCATTCAGGATCACTAGGTCCAGAATTCTGCTGCTGTAAGCAGTATAGACAGCATTTCTAGATATTGTTGGGGAATTAGAGAAGCCATTAAGAAAATGCTAACCAATGTAACTGGTATTATTAAAGTAAATAGATTATGTAGGAATTCATGTTACTTTGCCTCGCATCTCTTTTTGAATTGCAGATTCATGACTGCTCCTGTTTCCTGTGTGAATGTATTAATGAATTTACACTGATACTGTTTGAGTGTTGTTTCACACATAATGAAAGAATTTTTAGAAAATAAGAGGTTTGTCACCCTACGGACACAATAGAAAACAAATTTTTACCTGTTTTGGGATTTTTGTTTGTTTGTTTGGGTTTTTTTTTGGTGAGATATGAAGCTACATTTGCAGTTGCTTAATCTTCTCATAAACAATTCGGTTTCCTGAGAGTTCTATGAGCATCTCTTAAAAGACAGTGTTCACGTGAAGGTTATTGAATGACCTGTTCTGCCACCAAATGATGTTTTTGAAAGTACAGACAACTTAGTTTCAAGAGATTTTTCGTATGCAGTATTTTAGAATGAGACAACAAAAGCAGTTTACCTGAAAACAATTCTACTTATTGAAGTAAATAATAAAGTTTATTGAAGTAAATATTATATTTCATTAATTTTAAACACTTATAAGGTAGCTGATAATTTTATATGATAATGTTTTAATTTTTTTAGGAATTGAACCTAGTATGTGGTATTTATGAAAGTCTTAAGTGCTTCCTTCCCTTTGACTCTTATCTCCACATTATAACCTTCTTGTTTTCTTGCTAACTTTGTTAATTTTTAATAATTGTAATATTTTTCACTCATGCTTCTCATTAGGTAATTTTCGTGGTCTTTATTTTTGGGTCATCTCTGAGCTCTGGTGTTGTCTTAGTTTTGGAAAACATTTCCAAACATCACGTAACACTTGCCGTGCAATGTTTGCATGGTCTGGCTTCTAACTTGGAGAATTATTAAGACTATGTAAATAGTAGTATTTGTATTAGTCTTATTTGTACCTTATTTTTACTTGAAAAATAATGATGAGCATTTACATTCTGATAACATACTTGCACTGTCATTAGTTTAATCTTTTTATTATCAGCCTGCAGATGTATTTCACTTTGAGGGAACAGTCTATAGCCATCATATGTCTCCAGTTGCTACAAAGCATTGTTTAATAGCAGGTATGTATCTGTTTGTAAGAACCGTCTTACATATTTTGGGTTTATAGTAACAAGCCAGTAATATTCAGTAATGTTTTTTACCTGCCCTATTTTATTTTTACATAAATTGAGTCTTCATAAGATGTAAGTTCATTGGTAAAATAAAATACTATCCATTAATTGGATGATGTCAATGACAATATCATATTTGTTCTTCTGAAATAATGCATCAGTCAGTTCTCCTACCTGATAAAAACTCTTAGCTATAATTAGATTACCTTTTGCTACATAAGCTAGCATTTGAGGTTTCTTAGATCCAAACATAGTGAATTGTGTAAATAGATGTGTATTACTTACAGAGTTTAACTATGTTTAGCAACAAAAAATATTTGAGGATGCATTTTCAAGTTTCCTAAATAGTGCCCTGTTTACCTCCAGTTTCTAAATTTTGTTTGTTACATGGTAAATTTACTTGGACTAAAAATGTAAATATATTAATAGAATGCATTGACTCTGACTGAATGAACTGTTGTGCAGTTAGCATTTTTCTTCTATTTCTTTGTCATTGCTAAGATTTTGTCGTTGTTGTTGTTGTTCTCTCAAATGCTGGGGGGGTTTTTAACTGTCTTTGTTTCTCTTGTTACAGTTGGTACCAAAAGCCCCAAAGTACAGCTCTGTGACTTGAAGTCTGGATCCAGTTCTCACATACTGCAGGGTACTTCTTAGTCTGAAACATAAATGTTAAACAATAACTACTTTGAGTGAAACAAGTCCTGCAAAGAAACACTGTATACAATGTATTCTTTGTCAGTAGCGTGACTAATTTATTTCTAGCCAGTTTTGAAAGTTACACAGTAGCAAAAGGTTCTTCTGGGTGTTTTCTAGTGCTAACAAGTTGGACAATACGAATACTAACCAATGAGCAGTTACTACAGATGTTTGGGCATTTTCATAGTCTAATCAATAGTGATTATTATTTATTACATGGTTAAGCATATTCATTGGTTTGGGGGTTTATGGGGGGCTGTTTCCAAGAGACCCAAAGAACAAATAAAACAACAAAACTCAAAAAAAAAAAAAATCCTACGGAGGGATTTGAATGGATTTATTTAGAAGTTTCTGGTTTCTGTACAATAGACAAGATACTGCTTTCTGTAGAAGGATGATATCTAATCCTTTGCATTTTCAAAATTCAGTTAAATATAGGGGTTTATTGTTCCATAATCCTTTACTTTTGACACTTAAGGAGAATGTGCCTTTCGTGTCTCTTTTCTAATGTGTACTTTCTGGAGTATGAGTATGTATACACGTGCTCAAATGAAGGCAATTACGAGGTAAATCTTCATGCTTCAAACCAGCCAGGTAAGAGCCAGCCCTGATCTAGAAGATGTAGAGAAGCATTAGGTCAGATACAGCAATGTGCAAATGTTTCAGTGCAGCTTTATTTCTTCACTGGCCAGCTCAAATCTAAAAGCAGCCTAGGTGGTTTTATGTGATGTGGAGCTTAAGCCATTAAGCCCTTATGGACTGGATTGGCCACAATAGGCATCTCATGTTCTGTTTCTAGAACCAAGAGCACAAGAGAGTGCAACGACAAAAACAGTTCTCTAGACTTTCGCTTGGGTTTCATCAGGACTTCATAATTTAACACAAGAGTTACTGCTTTCTAGGCACAAGCTCTGTGTCACTGTACACAGCCTGGTACAGTTAGCTCAAGTGCAATGTTGGATGAATAAGTGGAGGGAGAATATGTCCTCCTATTAGCATAATCTAATAATTCTTTACAGAACTTGAAGTAGTCAGTAGTGTCTTGAAGATAGGTATGAATTTTCACACAGACTAACCCTAGAAGCTGAAATGGAGCTAAATGCATGACTGTTTTGTAATAATGGATCCAAGTAAATGTGTCTGCCTTGACCCTTCCAAGTGTATCCTGTAGTACCTGTATCATGGAGATTTTTTCTATGATCCTGGTCATCATAGCCCTTTGATTAGTTTAGGTAATGGAAAACCACCTACTAGAAGATGTAGGAGGAGCAAGGTGGTTCACATAGCTCTGAATTGCACTAGCAGAAATGTATTTGTATGAATTAGTTTATTTTTCAAAAATATGTTTCTATTACTACATGAAGCCTTATTGCAGTCTCTCCATTTAGCACAATTTACACCTCCTATTGTCTGTATTTATTTAACACTTTTAAATCTTTCCAAGTTTTGAAGTGTATGTATGTGTGTATATATGTATATATATATATACACACACACACATATAGGAAAGAACCTTTCAGATCATTGAGTCCGACTGTTAATCCAACACTGTCAAATCCACCCCTAGATCATGTCTATAAGTGCCGCATCTACACATCTTTTACATATCCCTGGGGTAATGACTCAATCACTGCCCTGGGAAAACTGCTTTCGCTGTAATTTTATTATCCAATCTAAAGCTCCACTGGTGCAACGTAGGGCCATTTTGTCTTGGCCTGTTGCATGTTACTTGGGAGACTGACCCCCACCTGGCTACAACCTCCTTTCAGGTCGTGTAGAGAGTGATAAGATCTCCCCATAGCCTCCCTTTCTCCAGGATAAACACCCCTAGCTGCTCCTCATAAGACCTGTGTTCCAGACCCTTCCCCAGCTTCAGGGGTATCTTAATATTTCAGACCATAAATTCAAGACAAGACTATTTGAGGGTGAATAAAGTTTTAAATGTAAGTACATAGGGTATATATGGCTTTTATTGAACATTTTTAAAGGATTTGAAGAAATGTAAGGTTCCTTCTGTGTGTGATAACACCAGTGCTGCACAAAAATTAATAGAAGTAAGCTCAGTGGTTGTAACTGTGCTGTAAAGTGCTTTTCATAGGTAAAACCATCTTTATTATCAAAAGTTATACATGTGTAATACTCTGTCACTTTCAGCTCACTGCATTCTTCTACTTTGAGCAAGAAGAGCAAAGAGAAGTAACTTCTATCCCAAAATGATATAGTTTCACAAAGTTCAAATTTGTGTTACTTCAATTATCATTCTAACCTGATGTGTCATATAGAACTAAATATTTGCCTTTACTTTCAGTTATTTACAAAAAAATATATGTACAACCTTTGTCATGTAATTTCTAGGTCACAGGCAAGAAGTATTGGCAGTGTCTTGGTCCCCACGTCATGAATATGTTTTGGCAACAGGAAGGTAGGGATGTTGCTGAAACCTTAAAAGCACTGAAATGTTTGTCAGTAAAATTTTATATATTCTTAATGAATATTTTTTAGAATTCTAATGCTCTTTTGGAGTTAATCTTCATCACTGACTTTTACCTGTGTAGCTCTTCCATAGAAAGACAAAACCTGAAGTGCTGTACAAGTGAAGCTTATTTTATAGGAAGTTTGTACAGAATTTGGAAACACTAATTGTATTTAAAGGTCCAGGAAAATGATAGAGCATTATTGAGATACTTCTTACTGTTTAGTAGTGTGTGCATTGCTCACACATGTTTAGCTCAAATTAAAATCCTGGTTAATCATGCTCAATCATGTGAAAGGGCATAACTTGGGTATCATAGCTGATGGGTAGTAACTTTCCAAGCTGCAGTAATTCAGTGAATATGGATTGTATGTTGATACTCCTGGACCTTTTTTTTTTTCTTTTTTTATTTTCTGTTCCTTAAAATTTTAATTTTAATGTGAAAAATCCTCTTGACTTTCCTATAGCTTTTGTGTATGTCATCTTTTGATTATAATGTGACAGTTCTCATTTTTTAGTTGTCATGTTTTTTTCTTTCGAATTGCAGAGAGAAGTGACTGTTTTGTAAGTTTAGAGTGAAATTTGAATAAGTTGATACCAGAGTTGCAAATCTTCCTTTTCTAAAGCCAAGCTTCTGAAATGCTCAACAAGTTGGAAAACATTTTAACAGAGTGTTGTGGCTTTGGAGTTTTTTTTGGTTGGTTGTTTTGTTTTAGCAGATGAAAAATTGTTTGCTTGTAGACAACTACTGTACCAGTCACACAATAGATCTGTGATAGCAGGAGCCCCGAGTTGTCAGACAACCGTTACAGATAATGCTGGAGTCTATAGCTGCAGTTTAATCAACAGAAGAATTATTAGCAAGTTTATTCCTCGTCTGTGTATATATACAAGGGTGTTATGTTGTAGATAAAGAGGCAAATGTATTACAGCTGAACATTCACTCTTAGGTGCTGATAATGTAACAGCTATAATTATTAATACATTTAAATATATGTCTGAAATTTGTCTTAAAAAAAAATTAATGAAATTGTTTTGACTTGAATGTGCCCACATGATGAGTGCTTCAGAATAGTTGCTGGGCCAGGTGAGTTGATGGAAGACAGTTACTGAACCAGGGTGCACATAATTACCATTGTGTTTGCAAATGTATTTTTCTTAGTGCTGATGGTAGAGTAAAACTGTGGGATGTGAGGAGAGCTTCTGGATGTCTGAGTACACTTGATCAGCACAACGGGGAGAAGTCCAAGGCATCTTCTGAGGCAGGTAATGCAGAATATAACTGGTGGCAATGCATATGTAACTAGAATCATTCTTAGATTTCACAAATATATTGAATACTAAGACAAGCGATGTGAGTAATGATAATCCATTTGTTACCTACTACATAACACAGGCCATTCAGTTACTTCTGTTATAGAGACAGTGTTTGTGCTTGGGATCTTTTTAGAGGGATCTCCTTGACAATAACAGTGTATCTGTTCTAAATGGTTTTTCCCCTAAAATGGGAAATTTTGTTATCTGTATTGTCGGTGAAAGAATTCATTCATGCTGTAGATGAGGTTTTATATAAACAACAATCACTTCATAAGCTGTTCTGGTAGGTAGTTCCTTTGAAAACAAAGACAAGACAAACAAACCCACAAAAGTGCATTCCTTTTCCTGTTTAAATTAGTCTTGCTTCCTGTATAAGTCTTTAGAATATTTTTTCATATGAGGTATCATAAAATCAGTTATATTCCTTTTATACCTAAAGACTACAGCAGAGTGTAAAGTTATGATTATATTTCATTTTACAAGAGGTTGAATTAAATCTTAGTAATGCATAATGATACCTTGTATTAGCTGTAATTGACTACAGCATTAACATTTTTATGTATTTTTAAGTCACATTTCTGAAACTAAAAAAAAAAAACCAAATCTCCTGAGTTGTGGTCAGTTCTGGACAAAATAAATTTCATTTCGACAGTCCAAAAAAGTACTTAAACAGTTGTTACTCTGAGATAAAAATACATAGTATTTGGAATTGAACCACAGAGGAGAAACTGTGTATTGTACTTCTGAACAAAGGGATTTGTGTAGCATAAATCAGTGATTAAAGCTACCATGTCTGACTTGTGTGCAACTTAAGTTGCATGTAGAAAAATTCATGAAAATGAAATTCAAGAAATTACTGAGATGAAAATGGTCTAAAGAAAGTAAGACTTTGTGAAAAATGGACAGATTTTGTTTAACGAAAACCAAAATTCTTTGTAGCTCCAAAAATAAAGAGTGCCATTTTATACATTCCTTTGAATAATGTGTTGACTTGTTCAAACACAACATGTTTCTTTTCAATTTTATTTCTGTCTGACAGATTCAAGATGATTTTTGGCCATGTCAGATTTATTAACATATATATATGAACTAAACCAAATGCAGTTAATAGTATTTAAAAAAAAATTTTAAAGCCTTTTACCTAAGAAGTATGTCTAAATCGGGTAGTGTGGTACAATTTAGAGATATTTCATCTCTTTTTCAGTGAGTTAGTTCATGGACACCATATTTAGATTTGCTGTGATAGCACAGAGTTGGATTTTAGCTCCTTTAGCATACTTCATGTGCAGTATTGCACGGTAAACTCAATGAAGTTAATTTCTAGTACTCTATGAACAATGTAGAATAGGGTATTCAGTTGGAAAGGACCTACAATGATCATCAGCTGCCTGACCACTTTAGGGCTGACCAAAAGCTACAGCATGTTGTTAAGGACATCATCCAAATGCTTTTTAAAGATGGACAGGTTGGGTGCTTCAACTACTTGATAGGTTGAACAGAATTTGGTTTTGAATTGCACCCTGAGGAACACCACTGGTGGCTGTTTGCCAGCCAGATGTTTTTATAAACCAGGAGTTAAATGATTAATTTACTGAATGTTACCATTTAAACAACAATTCCAGTGGTCTGCATTGAAATAAAAATGTATACAAAGCAGTAATTCTTCTCTAGAAACCTGAACCATCTCTTTTTCTTGACAGCAAACACTGCTCACAATGGGAGAGTTAATGGTTTATGCTATACCAGTGATGGTCTTCATCTGTTAACCATTGGTACAGATGATCGGATGAGACTCTGGAACAGCTCCACTGGAGAAAACACGTTAGTAAGTTTTCAAGGAACCTCAGTTATGTTTACTTGCACTTAATTTTAGGGATTTAAAATTTCTGCAATTGTCATTACAATTTTGAGTATTTATTCATTTTCATAAAGGTTGTAACTGCTTCATCTCATCATTAGAAGATTTAGTGAACATGCTTTTTCCAGATTTTTTTTCTACTTATTAAAAAAAAAAAAAAAATGAAGAAGCTTGGATGTGCTTAAAATTCAATACAGTAACTCTTAAGTTCATTAATTTGGAGGCTATAAAACACTTCGTACAGTAATGAAAACCTTAATATGCAGTGAATGTTGTTAGAAAGTTTGGGGACATTTTTAACTATTAGTTATCAGTGCAACCTTCTCTCTGTTTTTGTGGAATTTGTCCTGTGGAGTTGTACAGCAGTGTTAAAAACAGCTATCCATCCATGCATCCATCCATCCATGCATCCATCCATCCATGCATCCATCCATCCATGCATCCATCCATCCAGATTACATTTGTAACCAAACAGCATCACAGATGTGGCATTGTGGATGGAAAAGGTCTTAAGTCTCTACTGCTGTTCCAGTCCTTTCTATGGCTTGTTTTGTTCTGAAGGATCTTGTCTTCCTGATTTAATTTTCTGTTTAGTAAAGAAAATTGGGGTTTGTATCTATTTTGAAAGAAGAACATATTCCATTAAGTCAGTGTCCATAGAATTTTAGGCAATCATAATTTGGTCTGTCACTGCTATCAGGAAAGGAAGAACTTTTGCTCTACCTCAGAAATCTTTAGCTTCAGAACACAGCAAGAAGAATTCCTTATAGATATTTAAATGAAAGGACTTTTCTCCATGCTATCCATATTTGCCAGCTTGTTCTCAGCAGCTCATATGCAGACATCTTTCTGTCTTCAAATCACCATCACTAAAGTAGATAATACAGTTTGTTCCTATCACCAGCTGGATCACTGGACTTTGTTTTTCTGTACCTGTTAGTTCACTGACTTGTTTCATAGGCTATTTTACACGTTTCTGATTTGCTGTGGAGTAGCTTGATCCTGCCCTTGCATTTTCAAGTCCAGAGTACTCTCTTTTCACGGAGCAAAACCCAGATGTATTGCTTAAAATAACTTAAAGGCACCAGCAAAAAAATTAATACAAGTTCACAGCATAGTCCTTTTATTTCCCCAACTAGTTAATCTTTTTTGGTCTCCTTATTTTTTTCTATATATTTCAAAAGGTATAGAAATTAAGCCATGCATATGATTTTTTTTTTTTTTGGAACAATGAGCCAAATTTGGGGCCTAGTGCATTGTTTCAGTACGAGAAGTGAATGTTGAAGTTTATACATGTTGTGTACATCTTTTATCACAAAAAAAATAGAAAAAATCCTTATTCACTGAGGATAGGAAGAATCAAACAGGAAAAAAAAAGAACATATTTTTTTCTCTGCTCAGAAACAAAGTCAGTTTTTAAGATTTTTCTTCAGTTATTGTTTGGGCAGCAATCCTTTTCTTTCTGTTGTTGTTCTGTCAATCAGGAATATTTATACTGAATATATATATCCATTTAATTTACTTTTCCCATCTTCACTCCCCCGTTTTGTTGTACGTGCCTTTGTTATGAGCAATGCTATGGCTTGGGAATTGTTGATGTTACAGCTCATATGCTGTGGAAAGGAGTTTTAATTGTTCTTTATCAGCAGAGTGAAATGCCTCTAAAATGCTAGCATTAGCAAGACTTAACATAGTCAGTATTTACCAACAATATCTTTACAAAATGAGCACAGTATTATGTCACGAGCATGAGGGAATAAAGACACGAGACCACCGAGGTTCTTGAACAGGGCTGCAGGTCCTGCCTGAGCAGTGTTCAAAGCTGATCTGCTTTATTAACAAGAGGGGGGGATTTTATAGGGTTGGCTGGGGACGGTGCTAGAAGGTAGGAGGGATATGCAAAACTTGGACATAGAATAGGTGGAGGGTACATGAATAAACATTAGGGGGTAGGATAGCAACAGGGTGCAAACTGGGATTGGTTGAACAGATATGGTGCCACGAACTGTCCAATGGTAGCTGACACTTGCTCCTAGGAGCATAGCCCGTAGAAATCACTTGTAACATTTTAAAACTGGGGCCTCAACCCAGCAATGGGTTTTAGCCCAAAAAGTCACTTATCACGCAGTCTTTTCACACCACTGTAATTCTGTTGCCCGTTTGGTTAATAAACTCTTCTTTCCATTGTTTGTGCGATGAAATTCCAGAATGGCCATCTCCAACAGTATTATCTGCAAAGGACATAAGCATCACATCTCATGAAAGTATTCTCTCAATATGTAAAAATATCGACCTCAAATACCTTTTAAGTGCCTGTATACCAGTGCATGTAGCCTGGGAAACACAGGAAGATTTGGAGATCTGTGTGCACACACAGGCTTTGATCTCACTGTAATTACAGAGACATGGTGGGATAGCTCACATGACTGGAATCTTATGATGAATGGCCACACACTTTTTAGAAAAGGCAGGCCAGAAAGGTGAGGTGGAAAGTTGCCCTTTAAGTAGGAGAACACCTGGAATGTATGAAGCTCAGTCTCGGGGAGGATGATGGGTAAGTTGGGAGTTTATAGGTTAGGCTTAAAGGGCACACTAACAAGGGTGAGACTGCTGTGGGTGTTTTGCTACAGGCTGCCTGAGCAGGAGGAAGTGGATGAGACCTTCTACAGACAGCTGGAAGCAGCCTAAAAGTTCACAGGTGCTGGTTCACATGAGGGACTTTAGCCACCCTAAGAAGTGCTGAAAGAACACAGCAAGGCATGCACAGTCCAGGGGGCTGTTGGAAAGCATTGATGATAACTTTCTGACATGGGTGGTGGAGGAACCGCCAAGGAAAGGTGTACTGTTGGACCTTACACTAACAAACAAGGCCTTCTTGGAGATGTGAAGGTTGGGGGCAATCACAAGATCACAGAGTTCTGTATCCCGTGAGGAAGAAGCAGGCCAATGAGCAAGAATCCTAGAAGAGCTAACTTTGGCTTTCACAGGGAACTTCTTTGAAGAACCCCGTGGAAAGGTGCCCTAGGAGGAAGAGAAGACCAAGAGACCTAGTCAGTAATACTCCAGGCTTTGTAACAGTTTATGTCTGCGGGCAAAAAAGTGAGTAAAAGGGGCAGGCAGCCTGCATGGTTGAACAAGGAACTCCTGTCAAAACTCAAGACATAAGCAGAAGACGCACATGAGATGGAATCAGGAGCAGGCAACATGGAATGAATAAAGGGATGCTGTCAGAGTATGCAGAAATGCAATGAAGAAGGCCAAGGCCTATTTAGAAAAAAATCTGGCAAGGTTGTCAAGGATAACAAGAAGGGTTTCTTCAAATACATCAATATGTGGGACGGCTACTGGAAGGAACAGGGTCCCTCCAAACAGAGGTTGCAGAGACAGCCAAGATACTGAACACTTTTGGTTCAGTCTTCACTACCAGCCCTTGAGAATTCCTGACACAGGAGACCAGGAAGAAAGTCTGGAGGAAGGAAGACTTTTCCTTGGTTGAGGAAGATTGGGTTAGAGACCAATTACTCAAACTTGGCATCCCCAAGTTCATTGCTAGACCAGTCTCAATCATCTTTGAAGGGACTGGAAGAAAGCAAATGTCACCCTCCTCTTCAAAAAGGACAGGAATTACAGGCCAGTCAGCCTTATGTCAATCTGGGAAAGGTGATGGAACAGCTCATCCTGGCAGCCATTTGGAAGAAAGTGATAAAGAGTAGTCAGTATAGATTCACCAAAGGAAAAGTCACACTTGACCAACCTGATTGCCACCTGCTACTGCCTGGAATGCCATCCTGGGCCTTGAAAAGCAAGTCCTGTGTGACATGGCACCCCAGAAAGAATTGAGTTGGGCAACTGGACTCAGTTAAAAATAGCCTTCTAGATACCTGGGCCAGAGGGCACAGTATTGAGTGGGTATATCATATTCCCTATAATGCATCAACCTCTGACAAAATTAAACACTACAACGGATGATTAAAAAGGTTGAAAGCAGTGGGTGGGGGACCTTCAAGCATTGGGATCTACATTTAGCAAGGACCACCTGGTTAGTTAACACTAGAGGCTCTATCAGTTGAGCTGGCCCTGCCCAGTCAAAATATCCACATACTGCAGAAGGAGATAAAGTCCCCATGGTGCGTATGAGAAATGTGTTAGGGAGGACAGTTTGGATTAGTCCTGCCTCAAGCAAAGGCAAACAAATGGGATTGTTTTTGCTCAGGGACTGGGCTGCACTTGTAGGTAATTCAGAGAGTTGGAAAAATACAATGTATAACTCTAGAGGATTTGATTTTTGGGTGAGAATGATCTGAAATGTTGAATTTTATATTTTTTGCTGAATTATACTGCCACTGTATGCCATAACTACCATGGACAGTGAGTATAGATTACTCCAGATACAACAGTTGTGAGCTCCTGATGCAGCTTGCCACCAGTTGACAGCACACCAGCTGTCCTGCCCAGCTGTCCTGCCCTGGAAGACTGCTAGGATGGATGGAACTCAGAGTGGTGGTCTAAATGAACTCACCAAACATCTTGGAGGGCCATTGACTACAGAAATGATATCTATGTTTGTGTATATTTATATATGAATGTATAGGTATGTAGTGGGAAGGTACATATAGGCATATATAGAATCATAGGTCGTGTAGAATAAGGGGTGGATAAAGTCCTGGTTTCAGCCCAGATCAGTAGCAGGGGGCGTGGCCAACACCCCTGTGTTATTCAGTACCACCTCACATCACTGACAGAGACAGGGGAAGGGAGCTTTCTCTCTTCTGAGAAGGGTGTTCCTTCTAGGGGAGAGGCTGTGGTGGGTGAAATGGTCCAGTATTGTTTTATTTTACAAGTAAATTGTTTCCTTGTCCTATACATTGTGCTATTAATATTGTTGCTGTTACTGTTTGTTTTCTCATTGCTGTTTCCAGTAAAGTGTTTATCTCAACCCATGATGGCTGCCTTTTGTGCTTTCAGTTGGAAGTGGGTGAGGGGGAGCGACCCATGGCATGGTTTTAGCAGGGCTGCTAAATTGGAAAATACCATTCCTAAACCATGATAGGTGGCAATTCCTCAACCATGTCTAATTTCAGTGAGAGTTTATGTATTTGATGTAGATTTGGCATGCAACAGCCTGCACAAATTCTATTTCTTAGCGTGGAACTGTTGATTTTTAGGCATAACTATTTTTCCTTTTCTTGATGTTGAGAAAAGTCATCTTGAGCGAACATAAAAATTATTCTCTTGATATCTGTAATTTGAAATATCAGGAGTTATATTAACACAACTCAAAATTAATTTTATTGAGTATTAAAGATGAAATAAAATTGACCTTTTAATATAATTTCTTGTGATTTCACTTCATAGCTAACTATGTAATCCTTCATTTTACAGGTGAACTATGGGAAAGTCTGTAATGAAAGTAGGAAAGGACTCAAATTTGCCATCTCTTGTGGCTGTAATCCGGAATTTGCCTTTGTACCATATGGAAGTACCATTGCTGTTTATACAGTTTTCACAGGAGAATTGATAACTGTGCTTAGAGGGCATTATAGCACTGTCAACTGCTGTGTATTTCAACCTCATTTTCAGGTAAGTAAAATAAAACCAGTATTGTAGACAAACTGGAATGTTTATGCAGGCTGCCATACAATTTGCACTATAAAAGCATTAACTTTTCAGGAATGTGCTTTAATCAAAGATCATGACATAAGAGAGTTCTGTGGCTTGCGTGTCATGCAAGAAAAGGTTGGTGAAATTCTTGGTATGACCTTTTCTGGTTTAGCTTCCTTCCACTATTCAGTTTGTCTCACATATGTAACTTCTCAATATACTTCAAGTAATTTGTCAGCATACATAGTCATTGATAAATATGCATAAAGACTTTTGTCTGTTTTCTGTAAAACTGAAGAGGAGGCATTTGTCTTTCTCAGAGATACCTAAAACTAATCACAGTAAGAAAGAATGTGAGGTGCATTAGTATTGCTGTCAGTACTGAGAAGGCTCTAAAGTTCTCGCTCAAATGCCTGTAGTTATACTTTGGGCAAAGTGTTGAGAACACGATGAGATTCTTAAATTAATCTGAGAACATTTCACCTGAGAAATACCTTAGCATTACAGGAACTCATGGCACTTGGCAGTCTTCTTTCTTTTTCTTTTCTTCTCCACCTATGGTAGATTTTTCTCTTGCAATAAAAGACTTAAGGATAAAAAAGCTTAATTTGTTGTAACATACTTTAGAACAGATTGTTCATATGGCAAGAGTATTGTTGTGGCAAGAGTAGAATGGATGTTAATATGGATTTTCAGGCTGTTACATAGTTGCCCTGACATGTTAAGTATTGTACTTCATGTTCTAGCTTCTCCTTCTTTGCCTTTTGTTTCTGAATATCAGTGTCAAGGTTTTGACTCTGGCTGGATTTTAAACACCCACTGAAAGCTGTTTTTCCCCCCTCCTCCCCACTTTGCTCTTCTTGGAGGAGAGAAAAAAAAAAAAACCCACCAGAGAATTCCTGAGTAGAGATAAGAACTGGGAGATTCACTTACTAACTAATTTTCACAGGCAAACAGACTCAAAATGGAACTTAATAGAACTTAAATTTATTGCTAACAAACTTAAGAGTAAAGCTGAATTTATTGCTAACAGAATAAGAACTAAAGAGTAAAGGAATAAAATAGTCTTAAAACACAACACCTTTCCTCCATTCCCCCCTTCGCTCCATGTTCTCCCTCCACCCCCCAGCAGTGCAGGGAGATGAGAAAAGGGGGGAAGTCACAGCCAGCAGCTGCTTCTGCCACTGTTTAAATCCATGTTTAAATCCATGTCAAAACTTAATTAACTTAAGCAAGCCATAAATTTGATGATTCTTCCAAGTCTCTCTGGTGTAAGCTATGCATTTGCTGCTGAAATGTGTAGCAGATGGCTTTCTAATTTTTTTGTTACTTATTAGCATGTTTGACACAAGTGCTCTACCTTCATATGAAACAAGTTCTACATTTTTTCTGCATAGTTTTGACCATTTCCATCTAGTATTGAGTCTCTGTCACTGTTAAGAGTGTTCTTTTCAACTTTTTCTGCTGTCTCTAACCCTGCTGACTGATTTTTGTCCTCCCCATCATCAAATCTGGTGCTTAGATTTTCCTTACTATTTTTTGCCATTTTGAAAATTTCTTATTGGTTGCTGTCAGTCCCTGATATTCTTTCTGTTCATTAACTATATTTTAATTGCTATCTTTGTTTCACCTCATAACCAGAATAGACTCTAAGAAGAACTTAAACTTTGCACCAGTTATGTATTTGAGGTGAGAAGTGTCTTCTGTTTGCTCAGAACCATATAATCAAATATGATCACTGATACCCAAGCAGCTAGCTATTTGCAGTCCAATGATACTAGTCTTTATCTGTTCTTATCCAAATTAATTAGCATGTTTGTGTAATACCTTTTATGCTTGAGATATGGTATGGAGCTCTCTCCACAGAATGCTGTGAGTTTAGTCTTTTCTGATCTTGGGAACAGAGCCATAAAATATACTATATTATTGTTTGCCTAAACTGTTCTTACGTAAATATCTCTGTGAAGTTAGTAAGATGTTAATCTGCTTGAGTAATAAGAACTGCAGAATTTAGTCCTCCAAGAAGAGGCATTAATTTAATAGGAGGACAGTAATTTCAAGGGTGGTGTGAAAGAGAATCTTCATTGTGCAATATCTTAGATGATGTTTACTGTTGGATGTATTATGCTAGATAGTATTGTGCCATATTATCTGCTTAAAATAATTTAGGTAAACAAACAAGACCTATGTTTCCCTTTCAGAAAAAGAAATCAAGTAGAGCATTATGCAGGAATAACATGTCATAAAATATTAGGTATGCAACATGATGCAATTTTGCTTTAAATTATAGCTTCTCATACTGTTTAAGAAACGACGAGTGACATCTGCAAAGGTATTTGGCAAAGCCAGTAGTAAGCTATTGAGTAAAGTTAACTGAAAGTTAAATTAGGTTTTATTTGCAGTCTTTCCATGTAATATGCCATAAACATGCATGGAGCATGTTTGTAGTGCAATATATGTGACTATCCTGTATTGTACCATAATCCTACATAGAGGGGACTAGCTCTTCTTTTGATTGACTTGAGGTGTGAGTCACCATTTCAGGTTGTAATATTTAATTGTAAGTATTGCTCAATGCAGTGGATATTAACTGAATATCTCGCCATACCAGGATGAGAAAGTGAGCCAAGGGGTAAAAAGGATTTAATGCACTTATGGTGATGTCACTATGACATTGCTCACAAGGGTATATTTTGGCATGGAAAGGTCTTTTAGAGTTCTAGTGATATTCTTTATCAAAGGCAGAAGGCCTGACTAGTGTACTGCTGACAGAATTTTTGTCCAAGTAGAATCTGACCTATACCTTGGTGTAACATATCTTCTTTCAAGCAAATTAAGCAGGATTGTTCTCTGTCTTAAAACTGTAAACTCTAATCTTGAATGTGTTTTATGCATGAAGAACTTTATGCATAAGACCAGTTTTAGAAAAGATGGTATGTCAGTTCTACTGAGTGAGATTACCCACATAAATGAGTATTTATAGGAATTGGGCATTAAGTTTTTGCAGCAAATGTCATCATAATTCATGCAGTCTTGGAATTAACTATACATAATGTAGGAGACTTTCTGCAAAGATAGACTTTATAATATTTTGAACTTATGTTGAATCAAGGTATTAATAATGAGCACATATGCAGAGAATTGCTCATTTAAGTGTAAAAGCCAGTGTACTTAAAGCAAGGGTTTCATACTGTTAGCCTGAATGCCAAAGAAAATACTTTATAACTTCACTCAGACAGTTTGGATGCACGACAGTACTCAAATGTTTTCAGACGTGGCCTATAATATACAAGAGGATGATTCAAGATTGAAGGCATATGAAAATATCTTTATGTTGGTTCATTTAAGAAGCACTTTGGAAAATATAAGTGTTATTAGAGCAAACTTTATGGCAAAGATGGTGTAGTATCTCTCATTAACCAAATTTCTTCAGATTAAAGTGATAGAGAAGTCTATTTCCTTTAATATAGAGCTAAGAAAACTAAGAAAACTTTCAGCTGTTCGGTGTAGGGACTGTTTGCTTCCATGTGTTTGCAGGGTGCCTTGTACAATGGAATCTCAGGCCTTAGTCATCACTTTAATAAATAGAGTTGTTTATATTAAAAATAATAAACTGGTCCTTCTTATCTGTGCCTTTCCAACAGGATACAGGCTTCAAATTCTACTTTGTTTGTTCTTTTCCTTCCCTAGGCATACTGAAACTACATTTATTTAGTAGTTCTTTGTTCCATACATATGCACTTTTGTAACATGTATTGCTAAATTCTTTTGAGTTTGTTCCTATTTTTAAATTTAATAATGTATTTTCCTTTTTTGCCTTTTTTTTTTACTTCTCCATAAATAATCTTTTAAGTTTATTATCTGTTAAAATAGGTGTATTTTCAGGAGATGTGAGGGAGGGCAGAAGAAAAATGTATTTAAAAGCAATAAAGCTCATTTAAATGTGGATTGTGCTGCTTTGATGAGCAGTCTGTGAAAGAAAATTTTAAAAAAGTATTCATTTTGTTTTGGCATATTATTTAAAATGCTGTTTATTGAAATTATAGTATAAATTAAAAATTGACTAGTTGCGTTCATTTTAAAATAAATTTTCCATATCTTTTTTCTCCCCAATGTTGTGCCTATATCACTATTTTGTCAATTTGTGTAAAAGTAATTTCTGCTTTTTTTTTTTTTAAGGAACTTTATAGTGGTAGCAAAGATTGCAATATCCTTGCATGGATACCAGCTCCACGAGAGCCAGTTCCTGATGATATTTCTGAAAAGGTAATGAATTTTGGAGTTTGAACTGTAATTTTTTATGGCTTGTTGTGTGGAACTTAAATATGAAGTATCTGATAGACCATCAAAATTTGTAAAAGCAGAATCACCTATTTTTTCTGGGCAATCCTTTAATTGTTATACAGTTTTGAGAGAACATTTTCTTTCATAGTCTAGTAAAGTCTTTTGCAGACTTCTACCTTCCTACTTAGTTAAAAGTAGTTAATTTGGCTATGGATCTTTCAACTTTTGCTTCAGTGTCCTTCATTTCCAAACTGTTTTCTGTAGCTTTTGCTATTTTGGAATTGTAAAGGTGCCAACAATTGTATTTTAAATTGTTTAAGAATATGCTGTGCATTAAGCAGTAATATTAGGGATATCACACTTCATACCTAGATATTTTTGATGAGGAAATATAGTTAGTGAGGTTATCTTTGTGTCTGAGGCAAGATATCCAGGTCTGTTGCAAGAAGATGATATGTAACACTGCTTTCCAAGAGAGTTCTTTCTTTCTCTCAGTATTAAAGCTGGGCAATAAAAGTTTCAGTGAGCAGTCTGAGCAGAAAAAAATCTAGATTTAAGGAACTGAAACCATTCACAGAATCAGAGTCTAGCAAACTCTACGAATGTTGACAAATGAGGATAAATTAATGTTTTGTCCCATAGCATACAAAAATGTCACTTCTTAAAATTTCTGCGTTGTTCAGTTTTGGATGGGGAAATTATAAGAAGCATAAGTTTGTTGTAACATTTGCTTTGCTTTGTAAGACAACTTACTTCAAAACTACCCTACAACTAAGCAAAGAAAAAAAAAAGATAGTTTCAAAGGTTAGGTACTTAAACCCAAAATGTGTTCACTGGACCTGAAATCAACATTTTTACTCTAAATGAGAATTTATATGTGAGTTAACTGTATTTTTCTTAGTCTGAAAAATAAAAACAAACCCACAGCAACAGGATTATTTACCTAGATCTAATTAGAACTGCTCATTTAAATTTTACATGGTGGCAGTATGTAATATGTGCCAATGTTTTGAAATCTTTTAAGCTACAGCTGCTGTTTGCAAATGTTGTAGATGAGCACTGCCTCTGTAAGAAGTAGTTCTGCTGTTGACTGGTCCTGCTCCCTCTCATGTGCTAAAACAGCCACTTGAGTGCTTGCATAAGCAGAATCTGAACCCAGAATAGAAGTAAATTAAAAGAAATTACCCTAAGTCATTGTGATTCAGTGTACTGAGTAGCTGCCCGAACCATTTATTTGGACCCTAGTGGGGCTGATATGAGAAATAGGTCTTGGATGTGGATAAAGGCCAAGACTGCTTCCTGAAACCATAATATTAGCTCAGTTATGCTGGGCCAAGGAAATGTAGATGTAAATTAAAACAATGGTACACAATAAACATAGTAAAACATATAAAACATTTGTTTATGTTTTACACCAAACATTTGTAATACTTCCAGTCAGTACTCCAGTTATTGTTTGTCGAAATTGATATTAGAGTACTATTGCTTTTCATAATTTATCATGTCTCTAATCAGCAGAATGGCCAAAGAAGTAATTAAAAATAAACTAGTACTCATGAGAGACAGAATAGTTTGTCTACATATAATAATTTTTAAAAATGCCTTTAGCTTTGCACTTTTAAGATTTTCATATTTTTAGTTAAGAAAAACACTGATAATTTTTATTTTTTTTAGTCTCTGCCTCAACAACATTTAAATCCAGCATATGAAGATGCATGGAGCAGCAGTGACGATGAAGGCTGAATTTAAATTATATGCTGATATAAAATCGACATTCAGGCACCGCATTCACAGACTTTATCTACAGAATTGGATGTTGTTGGATTTATCGTGACTAGATTTTTGGTACAGTTCTGTTAGAGCAAGGTCTTCCAGAAATAAGTTTCCACTGTTCTCTGTGGTTTTTTGTCACTGTTGGAGTTAATTCTAAAGGATTACTTTTTCATACTGACTTTTGTACTTACCTTTACACGTTGGTATACTTTATTCAGTGTTTAACAGCTGATAAAGAAAAAATAAAATCCCTCCAGACTAGTCAATATTACGTTGTTTTTGTTATCACTAGAGCATGAGGAGATAACCCCTTCATTTCCAAGACTCATGATACAGGTGACTTTGCCTGAAGGAGGACTAGCTCAGGGACCAGCTTATTTTATTAAGTGTCTAGGTGGAGCAGATTGAATCAATTTTCAAGTGCTTGTGTGCTGTGAGAGTCAACAGGTTTTTGTGCCTGTTCTGTAGTATTTTCAGTTTGTATGTTTTTCCATAAAGGCACTATTCAGTTAAGAAGGAGATATAGGGATCTTCTATCCAAGTATTTTTATAGTGACACCATCATGTAGTATCTAAATCTGCCCCAGAAAGTTAAAAGAAAGTGGATCACATTTCAAGTTAGAAATGTTGAATGTAATCCTTCAAAACTGTTCCAAAACATTTTGTGGTCCTAATGCCTATTCTGTTTTGAAAGGGAGGGATTTTGTGGAGTTACTCGTCTCAGTCACTAGTTTGTGCTTCAGACATAATGTAGTCACCAAGCTGAGAGCTGAGTTAGAGATTAGTGTCAAATATAGATGCAGCTCTACAGAGGAAAAATTCTTTCCCAAGTAGAGCGGAGGTTTAGACCACAAATTCAGAAAAAGGGAAAAAACATTGTACAAACAAGTGAAAGGTAATAATTTAATCTTTGTGTAGTGTGTGGATATTTCTGTCATTAGTATGTATCATAGAATAATTCACTGTGGTATCTGTACAAGATAGAAGCTGTCAGTTTCTATATGCCTAGCATTGTAAAATGATAACAGCTGACTGGGCATATTAAGAGAATTAAGCTTCATATTTAGTGCATATTTGCTGAGACAGATCCACTGTTGACTGTATAGCTGTAGGGTGGAAGAATTCCAGAAGTTTATACTGAAACTAAGGACTCACCTGACACTGTCACTTTACAGAAATAGAGGAGAGCATTTTCTATTTTTTTTCCCCAGTATTAGTTTTTATTACCAAGAGTGGCAGCTCCCCTCTAAAATTGGAAAAATGAGGGAACAGATTTGTCCCCATCTTCCTTATAAGCCTTTTCTACTTAATGGAGGATGCTGTAAGGTCTCCCTGGAACCTTCTCTTCTCCAGGCTGAATAGCCCCAACTTGCTCAGTCTTTCCTCATAAAAGAGCTGTTCTATCCCTCCAATCATTTTTGTGGCCCTCGTCTAGACCCATTACAAAAGGTCCACCTCTTTCCTGTGCTGAGGAGCACAAAGCTGGATTCAGTTCTCCAGATGGGTTCATTTTTGCATACTGATTTTTGTCAGGAGTTCCTTTTTCATGCATGCAGACATCCTTTGCTTAATTTCCTCACCCACGTGAGCTTGGACTACCCTGGACTAACCACCTCTCCTGGACACTCCTTCTCATCAAGGTCATGTCCCGTGGAACCTTTCCAGACAGAACCCTGAATAGCAGTCTAGCTGAAAATGTGGAAGTTTTCCTCTAAACTTTTATGGGGCTCATTTTCCTACTGTTGCTGAATAACTTTTTACGTGTCAGGTTTGCCTAAGTAGCACCACAAATGCAATGTGGAATTCAGCTCAAGAAGAGATGGGCTGAGAATTATTTACCCAGGCACCTGTCCACCCAGATACCTTTGGGTTCAGTGTCCTAAGCAGTTGAAAATAGAAATTGGTTGCCTTATGGGTTTTTTGTTCCTACTAGTAGCTATTATCTTGTACATAGGACTCCTTCCAAATGTTGTTCTTCTGGTATCAGATTTTGATGGCATTATTCTCCCTCTTGTTTTCCTATGCTGGAAGGGGAGGTGTTTCTGGAGAGGGAAATGAGAAATATCTGTGTCTCATCTGAGCAATAATCCAGGTCTGTTCTACAACCCAGCACCTGCAAACCTTCCATATAATGGCAGTAGCTGATAAGTGGTATATAGTTTGCAAGACTTGAAACCTCTTGGTACTAGCCAGCATCTCAAACACCAATTTCTGGGAAAATTATACTTTGAAAGAATGGCACTTATATTATGATTTCCTTCAGTACTTCTAGTTTTCTGTAGATGTGGTAAATTTATTATTCAAGGTTTTTTTAGTAAAAAAGAAGTATTTTATATCTGCTGCAATCTTATGATGTCTGTACTTAATTTCTAATTGAAGTGTTAGTATATTCAAAATGAAAATTTTTAAAGGACAGTGAAGGTATCCTGTATATTGTTTTTCACAGCCAAGAATTAAGTACTAAGCCAACAGTGTCAGTTGCAACTGAGCAAGCTCTTGTTTATGTGGAAGTCAGATATGATAATTAAATCTGAGTCTTCTCATTTGTTTATATTTATTCTGCTTCAGTGCTTATTGCATGTGTTTTTGTAGTATCAAAGCTTTTTCGGAACCGGAAATGGATTAAGTAGAATAGAGTAGACTTAATCGCTTTTCCCATACTTTTGTCAGTCAGAAAAAACCCCACATCCGGAAATCCAGTCAGATGTGGAAATGGATTCTGTGTTCATATTGAAATAAAGTTGTTCACTTGAGAGCCAGCTGATAGCTGGATTCTTACTGTTTAAGAACAGTAAGAAAGTTAAGAGTTTAAGGAGAGAGCTTAGTCTGTAATGAACTGCATTCTTATCACAGTAGTGGTATTGAGATTTAGTAGTTGTACTCTGTCAGAGAGCACAGGGAATCTAATCTTTTAGATTCTAGAGAATTTAATCTTTTCAGGCTGTTCCAGGAATTGAATATTGCTTAGAAGACTTTCTTTGTCTGCCAAGGCAGAGATTTTTATTTGAGCTTTATACAGCAAGTAGCAAAAGGTGGAAAAGAATTTATTTGTTCTTACAAGAGATCAAAGAGTTTCCTTTCCCTTCTAGCCTAAGGAAACAACGAAGGTGGAGTCAGACTGAGCTAGTCCCACTGAAGAAATATGAAGAGCCTAAGACAAGCGTCCCTCAGCTTAAGTGGAAGTTGAGTTCTGTGGAGATAGTAAGATAGGACTCTGATTATTTATGTCTAGGTTATGGTGCTCAGAAAGAATCTGATACTGAGACAGCCAAGAAAAGCCTTGTTCTTTTTTTCCTCCTGTACACAGATTTGGAAGGAAGCATTAGCACATGTGAATTTAAATATAGCTAACTCAAGTACTGGGAAGAACAAATTAACACCATAAGTTTACCTCCCTTTGCCCTTTTTTCTGTCTCTGGTATACTCGCTCTTACACACAGCCTGACAAGTCTAAAAATGTAGGGATTTGTCTGCCACCTTTTTTTGCATTGTTTGGGTTTATAGTCAGTCCAGGTTTCCCACTGCACAAGACGTCTCGTTTTTTTGAATCAAGAATGATTTCCTCAGTCAGCTTAAGATCCAGAATTTAAGACCCCTATCATTGTAAACCTTAAAAAATCTTAGATTTGGGAACATCAATAGAATTAGTTATGGGTTTTTTCCCCTTTTATTTATCCTTGTATTATAGTCCTTATCCTACCTTGAATGTACACACACACGTATATCTATGCACACAAGATACAAAAATATTTAAAACACCACTGCTTTTGCACCACTGGAGGATAGTTCTTGGTTTTCTTCCTACCTCATTTTCACATACAGGTAGTAGTCTGGTGCATGTAGGGAGAATTACACCCTCTTTAGTGCTCCCTGACCTGGGATCTGCCACTAAGAATGGGTAAGCCTAGTGCTAGCTTAGTACACATGTGCTGAAGGTTTTGACACTTGAGAGATTTTACAAAGGAAGTATAATAGTTTCAGTGGTCAGGAGTTAGTGCTTGTAATACTCAAACAGAAGTATTTAAAACATATCAATAAAGTACTTTTGTGTGGGTAAGGCTGAGTTATGAAATGGACATGCCTTCTTCCATCCTACCCTGTCCTTGTTTTCTTTTAGTCTATTTTATAAAAACAATGGGAATGGATAAAAAGGGATGACTGAGTGGCCAGGAATTCAGGCAGGTACATAACTACTCCCTGCAGCTTCATCCCTTCTAATCATATCTGTGTCTGTGTAGTCAGCCTTACCCACCAGCCCACGGGCTCTGCCCAGATGACAACTAACCAGTGTCATCCAACACACTGGGAACCCTTCTCCACACCCAGTCCTGCAAAATTCCACCAAGCCCTGGAGACTGGAAAAAAATATTTGGGACTATGAAGGCAGCTTTCTATTTACACATGAAAAAATGTTTTATTTGCATAGGTACAAAGCTTTGTTCTTACTTTTCATTTTATCACCATTTGCCTTCAAATTAAGGCAGAAAGAAACAAAGATATTTTTAGTTACACATTTTAGCTTTGTACTAAGAAGGAGTCTTTCAGTCAGTCACTGAGGTCTGTACACTTGGAAGACTGGAAATCCACCCTTTTCTTACAGTTGTGGGACAGAGATGTATCTGCAATCCTAAACAGGTTTTGTAGTAAATTTCCTCATGCCAAACTGGAGATTCCAAGCAGCAGTTTTAATCAGTCCAACCAGTTATTTTTGCAACCATATGTTTGTAATCTAAAGTAGCATGCTTAAGCAAGAACAGGATAATGTATTCAGCAACAAAAATGATATCTATATGCCTTTGTTTAATACAAAATAGATTAACATAGAGGGCAGAGAAAAGGGGTTTATTAAAATATTTTTTGCTGTTATCAGGAGCTACATTTGGAAGATATTGAGCATTGTCCTTTTCAATTGATGCAAGGCATTTATTTAACAGGATACTTTATATTAGTAAAATGTCTTAGCCTCCAAAATAATTACTAAAATATTCTAACAAAACTTGGAATCATATTTTTAGAAAAGTTAGCTCAAAAATATTCATAAGAGAAAAAGAAATATGTTTTTACTGGAGACCATTAGCAAGAATAAACTTAAATTTGGCAGCCAGCTAGTTCCATTTGTATTTAAAATTTAAAGCTGATTCTTAATCCTCTCTGTTAGTATTTCAGGATGGCCTCTGAAGGAACTGTAGCTATTTATGCCTGCCTGCAGTGTTTTAATTTCATCCACACAAATAGATCTGGGTCTGTATGGTGGATCTTGAACATGTCATT